GGACCCGTGATCCGGGTCGCTCTCCTCGTGAGCATCCTCCTCCCTCCTCGCCGGGGACGTGGCACACATCCCTGCCAGGCATCACTCTTTACCTTGATGTTGCAGAAAATACTCCGGGAGCAGGTGCCGGATCTTTTGGGGACGTCAACCGGAGATTTGCCGGTTTCGGGGTGGACTCCCATCGTGGGGGACTTCCCGGGGAGCCCCGAGTAGCCTGGGCTGCACGTGGGCTCCTGTCCCTCTCCAACCTGTCCCGCCGGCGGCGGCGTGCCCGATGCGTGCCGAAAACCCTGCGAGCCCGCGAGTGAGGCAGGCGGCGTGAGCGCAAAGTTTTTATAAGTCTGCTCTCTCTCGGGGAGAGCGATGATGAAACCCTTTCTCCTCCCTCTTTTGCTCCGTGCGCCCAGGGAACTTTAAAGCCGCAGGAAGCCAAACGCCGGCACGCGGGGAGCAGGTGGGAGCGAGGGGTCGCCCAGCCCCGGCCGCTTCGGGAACGGGGATGACGACGGCTCTCACCCACTTCACCCACTCGCGGGGGGGACACCCGGCTCCCGTCCCAGTCTGTAGGACGCGAAGGCACTGGCACCGCAGCGCTGTGCGGGGAAAGCGACTGGGGGGGTTAATTTGAGTCCTCCCCTCCTTGAAGAGGCAAGAGGAAGGAGGAGGCACCTTCCAGCAGCCCCAGCGTTTGGCTCCCAGGTGGTGGGAGGGGGGAAATCGGGCGGCCAGACAGAGAAATCCACTTGGACTGGTACCAGAAAATATCTAAAAAAAAAAAAAAAAAAAAAATCTTGTGTTTTTTTCTCGTGGAAAAAAACGGCGTTCCTGAAGCTCCCGAGAGCTGGTTTTTTGTTAATACCTCTCCGGGGCTTTGTTTATGCAAAGCACTGATTTATTCTGCAGGCTCCTCGCAGGGAGGAAAAGTGTCAGATGGAGAAGGGCAGGTTGATCCCAGCTGGGGGGAAGCCAGCTGCAAGGATTTTTGTGAAAATTATTGCTTTTCCCTGCATAAAGCAGGAGGGGTCAGGGAGAAGAGGTGAAACGGTGGAGCCCACCTCGGGTTGCCCTGAGCCTGGAGAAACCAAATCTCAGCTATTTAAAAGTTTTCGCCATAGGAAGGTTGGCGGGTCTCTATGTACGCCCCGGAATGATGCCAAGGAGCTGAGCCCCGCTCAGTGGGCACCCATGCCCTGCCTGGGCACCCACCGTGGCTGCTCACCACGAGAGGGTGCCTTACACCCATGGGAGAGGCTCCCTGGGAGCTCCCTTCCTCCCGCCTCGCCCAAGCCATCCTGCCAGAGGACCCCCAGGTAGGGATCTTTGGGGTCTGCCACCAGTCTGACCAGGCATGAAAATCAGCGTTGCTAAGATACAAAGAGCTAATTTTGCCCGCCAGCTTCCCACCTTCCCATCCCACGAGCACTGCTTGCAGGGACAGGTGGGTATCACCAGCCTGAGGGTGGCAAAAAAATGAAGCATCCCGTGTTCCCATGTCTCTTTTTCCACTCCCATCCCCATTTTCCAGGTAATGCCTGGCCCGCTCGTTAACAGCCCCAAGTTTTCAGTTTAATCGTGACACTCGCTTTGTTCTAACAACCACCTCCCACGCGGCACCTGTTTTGGTCACTAACATCAGCTTTTCCGTAAAAAATTGTCTCCATGCAACAAAACGTGGTGGGGAAGAGGCACGATGCCCCTGCCTGGCAATGGGTGGGATGGGCAGCAATGTCCCTGCCCCAGTGCCGTATCCCGTGGATGGGGTTGGAAAACTCCGCGCCGGTGGCGTTCATAACCCTACAAGGGGAAGCAAAAGGGAATCAGGGATCTCGGGTGGTCAACGCCCCTGGGGCTGGACGTCACTGCCCCACAGGGATGTGGGTCCTTGGTGGGAACCCACCATACATCCCAGCTGGCCAAGGAAGGGACAGAGGTTGGAGCAGCCCCTGACATGCTCCAAACCATAAAGACCTGGGTTCTCAGGTCTGGCCACCCCCAAACAAGCCCCTGCTAGATATCAGACACAGAGGGATGCCCCAAGAGGGGACAATTTGCTGGAGGGCAGGAAGAAATCATGCTAGCAACCCACACTGCCGTTGTGTTTCTCAACCTGCAGCTCTTGCAATAGGTAACGCAAGAAAACACCCGCTTGGCACCCAGCTGTGAGCCACTGACGGCGCTGGGGACCCCCTCCTGGGGCTGCACACCCTGCTGACCCACACCACGTGGTGCATCACTCTATTCTCCTATCAGTAAACTTCCAGGGAAAACGTTTTTCCTAAGCAAGGAGCATCACCTGAGCCTTGGCAGCTCATCTCGCTGTAGCAAATAACACGATAAAAGTTGAGGAATCCCAGTTTAGATGTCCCATCATGGTGGTGTCCGTTACTAAAGGCAGGCACAATTTAAGGATGTGCCGCAGCAGCTCCACGAGGTTCCCCGTGGCCAGTGCTTTGTCTTGCAGCAGAAGCAAAGGGCTATTCTGAGCAGGCCCTCTCCACCTAGACAGGACCATTGCAGAGCACTGCTGACATCTCCCAGGCTTTCATCCCGCTGGAAGAGAAATTCCAGCCCTTGGATGCCAATTCGACTCCAGCTTTCTTACACACACATCAATTTTAAATGATGGACCTTAGACAACAGATTGTGCAACAGGAGTAACGAAATGAGATGCACAAAAAAAAAAAAAAAAATAGGACTCTTGCCTCTTTTTTGAGGATTCTCCGCTGCATTTTCATTCCTGCAGGGTTACAGCCTTGGCACGGAACGGTTCAGCCTGAAGACGAGCGCACGGGAGGAACGTGATTTACAGTGGTGCTGACAAGAGGAAGAGAGTTTGGTTTCAAATTCTTCTCATCGTGCTTTGTTAGGGTGATACGATGTTAAGTGCCTGGCAGGAAAGATCACACATGGACAGGGTTTGGTTCGTTTTACACGGCTCCTGGGGCTGTCCTTCTTTCTCAGCCTCCAAACCACGTTCCTCGGACAGCAGTCACGCTCCCCTGGCCAAGACATCAGCTGGAAGGAGAAGACCTCACTGCGCTAACTGGGCAGGAACTAGCTACTTCAACCAGCAGAGCTGAATCAGGCCCACAGCTCTCCACGTACACCACCAGTTCACCCTCTACCCCACCATCTCCCCTCCTCCAAAACAAGCCATCAGTTGAAACCTGCCCACCAGGTGTGTTTTCCATGGGTAGACCAAACTTACGCTGGTGTAGCTACACAGGAACCGAGGCAGGTCCTTCTTTGCTACCTGGGTACGCTCACCTTGTTGGCAGAACATCTAAACTCTCAAAAGTCACTTTTCTTCTGCTGGGGAGGAGACTGGGTCAAACTCTTTCAACATGACCACAGCTCTTCTCTTTCCTCCACATCACCCTCCTTACTGTTTTCTACCAAGCAGTGGGTTGATGCTTTCATAGGGTAAGGACCAGACTAGCTCTGCTTCACCACCTGGTAGGGTCTGAAGCATCTGTTTTCTTCCACGGTATCCCCAAATTATTCTTCTCAACGACTATTTGCCTGCTGGGCTGTGAAAGGCGATGCGTACCCACCAACACTGAATCATAGAGTATCTCCAGTTGGAAGGGACCCAACAAGGATCATCGAGTCCAGCTGGGACTCAAACTGAGAAGACCTTCCTGGCCCCTGGGAAGACTTCTTACTAGACAAAGCGATGCTGCATCCCAGCACGGAAAATGATTTCCCACTGTGCTGTGCATGCACAGTAGGACGGTCCCTGCTACGTCTGAAGCTGGACCTGCAGATCCTTCTTAAAGGAAGGTGTGTCCTTCCCAGCAGCCTCCCTATCAGAGATTTGGGACTGAGACTTGGACTTTTGCAGCAAGTCAGTATTTCATTTCATACAGACTTGCTTGAAGCACCATCCATAGTCTGGAGTCAGACAGCCCCAGTCCCAAGAGAATGATGGGCCAAGGAACTCATTTTCTTGTCTCGGAGCTGGCAAAATGTGAATTGTGTGGTCAGACATCCCGAGGAACCTGGTTATTTCCCTAGATCCAAAGGTGTGGATGCAGAAGACTCAGCTGCCTTCCAAACTCTTTGGTGGCTTCATGTGATCCAGCAATAACAGAGGAGCCCATAGAAAGCCCGTACACATTCCCCAGCCTGGGAAATCTTCTGTTGTTGGATAAAACTAGAAGGTGGAGAAGGAACTGGACCTCAGGATCTCCCTTCAGTAGAAGAAGGGAGTGAGATGTGATCCAAGTGAACTCCTGGTCTTTTCAGACATAGACATGATGAAGATCCTACCACAGATGTCAGCCATGGGATGAGACGAGAGGACGGATGGACACTTGGAAACACACGTCATGTTGGGAAGACCTGGAGAAGTCTGCAAGAGAGAGGAAGGAACAAAAGCAGGATCAGAGCCCTACGTAGGGCTCATAAAACGGCAATTGCCCGAGATGTGCTTGGTCTCCTGCTTCATGGGTGGTGCTGTTGCATGCAGGATTAGGAAGGGAGCGAAAGGTGAGCCCTGTATTTACTCGGGAACCTCACACAGTTTCAAAAACAAACTTCCTGGAGCCACCTGACCCCCAATTTACCTGCTGCACACCAGGACCAGGACAGCACAAGCCTCTGCAGAAGCAAACATGAAACCCCTGGGGCTCCTGGAGGGTTTGAGACTCGCAAGTACAAACATCGCTCGGAGAATGCAGATTAAAACCAACCCCCTCACTGGAGCCAGACCCCGGGGCTGGGGACCACCACACCAAACCCACCCCCTGGAAACCTCATTTATCCTCCAGGGCTGGCGGTGGGGCACAGCGGTGGGGTGAGGACCGATGGGGACAGGGCGGGCAGCACCGGCGGTTCCTGCGGTCAAGATGGAGACTACAGAGCCTGACAGGTTGGGTTTAATTTACCAGCGACGTGTATTTGATCTGGAGCAGAAATACTGGTCGGAGGGAGGCACGCAGCCGTTCCTGAAGAACAGGCTTGGCTGGCTCACAGCCCGACCTGCTCCCGGGGATGGAGACGGAGGGGAAGGTGGTTGACCAGCACACGAGGAGGTGGTCCAGCCCTTGGAGAAGAGGCACGCTGGTCCCCACGGCGGAGAGGCACATACAGAGGAGCTCTGGGGACAAGCGACAGCCAAGCCCCGGAGCAGGATGTGACAATGCTTATCCTCTGGCCAAAGCCACCACTAGCCCTGAAG